ATGGCTGCCCTTTTGCTGTGCAGAGGAGAAAGAGGGCCAGTGCCTAGTGGAAGCAGGAGGAGCTGGCTGGTGGGTGCTCCTGGATGGTTATGGAAGGGGGTGAGAGGTGTGGGGGAGGAGCCTGTGAAGGGTGGGGCAGCTGAGAGGCAGGATGAGGACCCAAGGAAAGGAGGAGGAGAAGTGACAAGGCCAAGGGACAAGGCCACCTGTCTTGGCTGAACCTTTAACCCGTTAACCGTCACCTCCCATTAACCGTTAACCGTTAACCATGGTGGGGTAGGTGAAAAGACAGGCTCTTCTTGGACCCTGCACTTGGCTAGAGGACCAAGCTTCCTCTCTGCCCAGTGTCTTCCTAGTATCCCCAGTGGGAGGCAGCCTTTCTCCTTTCTGCACCAGCTTCTCCACTTGCCTTCTCTTGGAGTCTGTGTTTCTCTTTGCCTTCGATCCCCTCTTCTCTTCATACATCCCCCACTTACCCTGCCATCCCCCAACCGCTCCTGTTACATAATGTCCCTACCTGCCAGACACCCATTGCCACTCTTGTACCTGATATCTGTCTGGGGCACGGGAGGACTCTCACACCTGGGTCCTGAAAATGTGCTGAGCCCAGGGGTGACACTTTTCTGGCCCTAGACCCCCAGTTCTGGTTTCAGAGTCCTTGAAGTTCCTCCCAACCCCCCATGTTCATTTCTGGTACTCTTTTTTTTTTTTTTTGAGACAGAGTCTTGCTCTGTCACCAGGCTGGAGTGCAGTGGCATAATCTCAGCTCCCTGCAACCTCCGCCTCCTGGGTTCAAGCGATTCTTCCACCTCAGCCTCCCGAGTAGCTGAGACCACAGGCGCATGCCACCATGCCCGGCTATTTTTTGTATTTTTAGTAGAGACGGGGTTTCACCATGTTGACCAGGATGGTCTCGATCTCTTGACCTTGTGATCCGCCCACCTCGGCCTCCCAAAGTGCTGGGATTACAGGCGTGAGCCACCGCGCCCAGCTTCTGGTACTCTTGAGCCAGGAATGAAGTGGTCAGTCCCTGCTAAGTTCTGAGTCAGTAGCTCCCATGGGTTGCAGATTTCTCACTCCAGCTCATAAAGGGGGCTAGCATTTATTTTGATTCTGAACAGGGTGTGTTAACTTGGATTTCTGACTGGATGGTTTATGGTTAAGAAATGAAAGGCTGTGTTCCGGGATCCTTGATCAGGAGACTGCTGAGCACAAGGGTCTGGACCAGTAGAGACTTCCCCATGTGGGATGTAAAGGTTCATGTAGAAAGTGCTGGTGTGGGCTGTGAGCACTCGGGCCATGGCTTTTCTGGGTTGTGCAGGATGTTTTATCCTCTCACAATTCTAGATCTTCCAGAAGGTTTTTTTCATGGCTTCTGAGGCTGCAGGGACACAGGCAGGCAGAGGTTCTGCACATGGTTTTAACCACAGGGGCATCATTGCATGGGTGGTTTTCTACGTGGATGATTATGTTGTTTGGGTCTGGGTTAGCTAACCATTATTAATGGTTGGTTGGTTTTTTTTTTCTAGAATGCAGGTGTGTGTGGGACTGCATGGAAGATTCTTGAACATTTAGAGTGTTTCACTGGAACAGTGAATTTCTGGGTCTAGGAGGTATTGAGGAGACTATATTGGGTGTGGGCAGAAGGTGCCAACCTGGGCCTGTGGCATCTTGGGTCTGGTCAGAGGCTCTCTTGCCTTAGGCTTTAGGTCTGAGTTGTGCATAACATTTCTACTCTCTGAAACGTTATGCACAATTGAGCTCACTAGTGGTTTCCTAGGGAGGTCAAAAACAATTGGTGTAAACCACCCTTGGCCAACATTTTTGGGCCTCGGGTTAGGCCCCTGTTGCCTTTCAAGCCCTTTCTGGAGCCTGTCAGAGGTTCTAGTTGTGGTGCCCTGTTCTGGGCTCTGTGTCTCCTAGAAGGCGCTGTGCCTTCCCTGGGGGAGTCTGTGGGCAGGGCCGGTGACAGCTTGCGGGGGTGAGAGGCTGGAGGCGCCTCCGGAGCGCGGCGGGGGAGGGGCCTGGCGGAAGCCCCGCCTCCCAGATCCGCGTTATTTCCGAACCCTAGCCTTCTGCGCTCAGGAGGCAGCCGCGGTGCTGGGGAGAGAAATGTCTCCCCAGGGTAATTACTGCCGCCCCAGTCCAATAAACCATTCATCCTTCACCTCTTCTGACCAAAAAGTGTCCCTCCGCCCCGTCCCCACACAGTGTAATAAACGCCCTTAGGCTTTACAGGCCCGCCCAGCCTAATAAACTGGCTGCAGTGTGAGAGCAGCTGGGTGATAAATCCCAGGGGAGGTCTGGGCTGGGCAGCCTGTGTGCTGCGGGCCTTGGCGGGGTTGTGTGCGCCCTGTCCCGCGCCTGGCCAGCCCCTGCCCTGGGGCCGCCTTCTGTGGTCTTTGTGCCTTCACCACCATGTTTCCTGGCTACTTCGCCTCCTGTCGGGGGTCTGCCTCTCCACGCTGGGTCTTTGTGTGCAGCTGGGTGCGTCGCCGCCTCTGTGTGGGTGTGGGGCCTGGGGCTTGGGCGCTGGGCACCGCCTCTGATCCCTCCTGTCTCATTGCCCAGTGGGGCATTAGGCCTGCTTTTTCCTCCTGCCCTCTCTGGGTACCGACAGGGTTCTGAACATGGTGATGTGTTTGCTGTCTGGGATCAGGGGTGGGAAAGTGAAGAGAAAGGGCCTCTTTTCCTTTAGATTCGGGGGGATTTGGAGGCAGCCTGCAGGTAGACTGGGTTTCCTTCCCTGGTCTGAGGGACCAGGAAACCCAATAAAGCCTTCTCTGAATGGGAGGCCCTGAAGCCCGGGGGTGAAGAGGCTGTAGCCTCTGATGAAGGAGGTGAGGGTAGGAATGTGTGTGGAGGAAGGTCAGCATCTCTGCTCCCCTGGCCCACCCCACCCCCCAAATTCAGATATGCAGCTTGTGTGGAGGGGGGAGGAGGACCCTGGGTATTACGGTTGCCATGGAAACAGCCGATTTTCCGGAGTGCTGCAGTGCTGGGAGTGGAGAGACTGTTACAGCTGAGGCCTACTGGGCTCCCTGCCTCCAGGCCCTGCCCTTCCAGACAGGTGACCACATAGGGTGGGGGTGGGGCTCACTGCATACCCCACTCTCAGCCAACTCTCCACCCTCAGTTTGGGGCCCCATCCTGAGGTGCTTACCACTGTGCCTCCAGGGTCCTCAGGTAGAAAGGACACCTGGAGAGGGCAGTGCCAAGCCCCCTCTGTCTGTTGAGGGTGCTTTCCTGGCCACAGGCAGGGACGAGATGTCAGTTATTAGACATCCAGGTGGTTCTTTCCCTCCTGCCCTTCCTCCTGATGTCACTTCTCACTCTGGGGAGATGGAAGGTGTTGATGGTGGGTGCTCTGCGGAACAGCAAAGGGGCCCACAGCTCCTGCCTCCCCTAACCCCCTGCTGACCTCACTGCCTCTTTGGGAACCAGGTAGCAGTCTTCCCTTCTCTCCTCAGCCCCTCCCTGGGTCTGCAGATGGTGGCTTCCCCCCAGGCATTTAGGCAGCCCCTCTCCTTTGGGGTCCTAGGAGATCCCTGGGAGCCTCCTCACCCCTGATTGCCCCAACTACAAGGGGGTTCAAGTCTCTGAGCTGAGAGACCCTGAGGTACCTGAGGAACCTGACCTAGTGTTACCAACTCGGCCACTACCTTGGCTGCTGGCAAGCCTGCTCCTTAGAAGGGCTGGAGGCCCTCCTGCCCACAAAGTCTCCCAGTTCCTGACGTGACTTCTCCTACCCCCAGACTGACATTTTTCTCTCCCTCCAATTTTTTGCCCTGAGGCCTCATCTGTCTCTCTCCTTTTCTAAGTCCTCCCTTGAACCCCTCTCCCCACAAGAAGTGCTTTGAGAGGAGTTGTTAGTGGCTAATTATTTAATTAAGCATTTTATGAATCTCATCTGCTCCATTTATGTTCTAAAGAATGCAAGATTGTTCTCTTCTCTTCCCTTCTCTGCAGGCCCCGGAGTACTAGTCCTCCAGGGCTGCCAGACAAGGCTCCTTTCCGGAAAACTGGGTGACCAGCCCCCCCACCCCCACCCCCAGGGAGCTCAGTCAGCCACAGAAGGGAACATGGCGACTAATGGGGTTTATTTTGGGGCTGAGATCGTTAGGGACCTCACACCCGCCCCCAGCAGCCGGCTGGCGAAGAAGAGAGGGAGAAGGGGAGAGAGGGTGGGGTGGGGGAGGGCTGGGAGAGGGAGCCTTTATCTCTGGCTCCCACTCTCCCATTTCTCTCACCTACACCCCTCTCTGTCCTTCTCTGTCCATCTGTCTCTCTGCCTCCTTCCTCCTCTGGCTGTCAATCTCCCCTCCCCCCAACCCTCCCCGCCCCATGGCTCTCTCTTCCTTTCTGGGCAGGGCTCCAGCACCTTTCTGCTTTGGGACCCAGGCAGCCTCCTGGGTGAGGGCAGAAGCAGGGAGTCCTGGGCAAGCCAGGAGTGGGATGAGGATGGGGAGATGTTGGAGGGCGCCAGCTCTGACCATGAGTCAGAGCTGCACACAGCTCTGCTCATCGTCCCACCATCACCTGGGGCTCCTTTGTGCCTTGGTGCCTGCTCAGCTGCGGCTCCAAAGAAGCACACACCTTGGATCTGTCACCTCTGCCAGACCTGGGAGAAGTGAAGCCGGTCAGGACCAGGCCTCCTGGGTCCTTCCTGCCCACAGCACTCTTGTCTTCTCAGTCTCCTTGCAGCTTCTCTCTGGGGTCTCTCTCTGTGCCACTCTATTACCTCTCCGTTTTGCTGTAATTAAAGCTAGAATTCTTGATGAGGCAGCTACATCTGTCTGTGCGCGTGCACAGGCTCTCACTCAGGCACCCACCTGCCAACTGCTCCCTGGCGTTGCAGGGCTGGTGGCTGCTGTGGGTATCACAGTTGAAGTCCCACATCTAGACCTGGGGTTCCGGCCCTCTGGTCACAACCCTGAGGACCTGCTGACCTCATCCTCCTGATGTCATTTCTCCTTGTCTCCCTTTCTTTCTCTCTGCAGCCGGGACCACATACATCTTTGGGAAGGGGGGAGCGCTCATCACCTACACGTGGCCCCCCAATGACAGGCCCAGCACGAGGATGGATCGCCTGGCCGTGGGCTTCAGCACCCACCAGCGGAGTGCTGTGCTGGTGCGAGTGGACAGCGCCTCTGGCCTTGGAGACTACCTGCAGCTGCACATCGTAAGGACCCTGGGCCCCAGCCCTTCAACCCAAAGCATCCTGCTTCCAAATCAGTTCAGTCCCTCATTGCCATTGGGATCAACACCTCAAGTCTTCCCTCATGGGGACCCCTCAGAACCTCTGTTCCCTCATCCCTGGAGCTTCCTGCTAAGAAGTTTTGCTTCTGAGACCCTTCCCTCCTCTCATTTATTCACCGAGACTCCCAGATCCACCCTCCCATCTGATTCAAGCACCTCCAGCTCCCTACTCCCTGAGACCACCTGTGTCTTCTGACCTTCCTAAACATAGTCAAGGGCCTCTTTGGGCCTTCTGGGCCATTCTCCCGCAGCCTTAGGAAATGTCCCTCATTTGTGACTTCCTCTGAGCTGCTGCCTGCTCACTCCTAGACCAGCTAGGCCAGCCCACTGTGTCCTGCACTTATTCCTGCCCCTCCTTCCTACCTACCTGCCCCAGGGCAGCCCACCCTTGCGGCTTCATCTTGCTTCTAGATTTTGCCCCACCTCTGTGCTGCCCTCGACTTCTGCTTTTGTGACCTTTGCCTTCCCAGCAGCCCCTTACCCTGTCTCCCCTACAGTCTCTCTGGCTGGGTTCACTCCTCACTGAGTTCTTGGCCCAGCCCCACGTCCCCACCCTGACCTCAGATCCCACCTGGCTCTGCCTTTCTCTGCTCAGCTCCACCTGTGGCCTTAGCCCCTTCCTTGTGCCTGCTCCCCGCCTTGACCTTGGTTCCTTCCCAGGGTCTACCTCTGGGCCTCCTACCATATCTGCAGCTCCTTGACTCACTTTTTTGCGTCCTGTTGAACCCTAGTCTGCAGGTGGCCACTTTTCTTTCCCTGCCCTTTCTCCTATCTGTGGCTCTGCCCTGCACCCTTCCCTACGACCTCTGGTATTGCTCCATTTCATTTCCAGTCTCACCCTCTCCCTTGACCCCTCCCCATAGTCTTCGATCCCAAGCCTCTGCCCTCAGTCTTTATCTGTACGTTTCTGGCCCCTAACAGCCGCCTTGTTTCCCTGCCTGTATTTCACATGTCGACCCTGGCCAGAACCCCTATGCTGTGGGGATCAGGCAGGCTGGCCAGGCTCTGTGGGTTGGAAAGCTCTGGGTGAGGGCGCCTGGCTGTCAGGAGGGCAGTTAGCTGGAAGGGGAGAGAGGAAGCCGGGGAGAGGCTGTGTGGGCTCTGATCTCTTCTTATCTGCTTGGGAACACAGTCACTGGCCTTCATTAAACAGTAGCTTTTAAGCGTCCCAGGTCTGCACCCCACTGCACCCCATCACTAGTGTGTGAAGGAAGGAGTATGAGGGGAGACTTCCTGTGGGCACAGCAGAGCTGGGGTGGAAGTGGCAGCAGTGAGGAAGGGGTGCAGAAGGAGCACTAGCAAGTAGAATAGCAGTCACGCCCAAGAAGAGGCCTGGAAGTTCTGTGCCAGTGTCAGCGGGACAGGCAGTTATCTAGAATGTTAAGAGGCAGCCGGTGTGTGAGAGACAGTGTAGCTGCAGACGATGACAGTGTGGGACTGGATGCACGGTGATGTGTGTCAGGAGTGACGACGGTGACAGTGGGGGATGAAGACAGAGACTGGGTCTCGTGATCTCTGATGGAGTGTATCTATAGATGTGTATTTCCCTGTGGAGTAGTGTTTGCAGTTGTTTCAGTTGCCTTTCTGGGTGGCGGGGTGTGATTGGGTTTCCCTGTGTCCTCTGTGAGTGAGGGCTGCTCCTCCTTGCTCTTCTCCCTCATTCGAGGCTCTGCATAGCTTGCAGTAGATGGTTTGGTTTGGAATCCCAATTTGCCACTTCCTTGCTCTGTCTTTGTGCAAGTCACCACAGCTGTCTGACCCTCAGTTCCCCCATCTGTGGAGTGGCACAGGAAGAGGACAGAGGGATGTTGGGAGGTTGAAGAAGATCATGTATGTGAAGCACGTAGTGAGCATGCTGTGTTAGCTAGTATCCTGATCATCTCTCATCAGCTACCTGGGCAGGACTGTGTGCCTTTGTGCCTGTTAGGTTAGGGTATAGGGTTCCTCCACTACTGATGACAAAGGACAAGGGGAGCAGGGTGTGAGGAGAAGGGATTTCCTCCTTTTCCTCTCAACAGTTGTGCACAGGCCTCACCTAGTGAAAAGCTATAGAGAAACAAGTACTGGTGCTGGGTACTGCAGAGGGCAGGGAAGATGGGGGCCTGCCCGAGGGTGAAGAGCCCTGGCAAGGGTGGGGGTCCATAAGAGGAGCCAGCCTTGACGGGGGAGTTGGGCACCAGACAGGCTGAGTCCCCTTGAGAGTGGCCCCCAAGCCCCTTCCTCCCTGGGTGACACATCAGCTCCCACCACAGCGTCAGTAGCAGCTCTCAGAGAGTGGGGAGGCGGCAGCAAAATAAGAGAAAAGCAATTTGACGTTTCTAATAAAGCGTCGCTCCACTTTGCCAAATTAATTTTGACTCCCATAATTATTTGCTGTAGGAGCGGCTGCCTTCTCCCCACCGCCGCCTAATGAGGTAATTGGGGAATTAGGAATTAATGACTTTAACAGAAGTGACAACTGACTTCACATTGGGAGAGGCTCTGGGGAGCTGCCTCTCCCCCGGAGTGCAGGGCCCTGAGCTTGGCTGCCTCCTAGGAAACCCAGGTGTCCTGCCTCCCAGCTCCCTGGCCGGCCCTCTGCCAGCTTGGCTCCCAGACTGCATGTGCTCCTTGACCACCATCACTTGGGCTGAGCCTGTGGGGAGAAATCCTCAGAGGAATCCAGGGAGCTGATACTATTCTGGGTGATATTATTACTAACAATAGTACCGAGGAGGATCGACTGTTCCCTTCCCGAGTGTGGGGAGCAGATGATCAGCCCGTCTCCCTGGGGATGTTGTCAGTCTGTGGGTGGTGGATGGGTGGGGCTTGCTAATACTCTTTGTTAGGCAAGCCCAGCCTCAGTTTCCCGGCTTTACTGCATTTGAGGAGAGAGGCTGAATGCATGTATGACTGTGTGCATGAATGCATATGTGTGTGTGTGCATGCATGAATGCATATGTGTGTATGTACATGAATGCATGTGTGTGTGCATGAATGTATGTGTGTGCATGAATGTGTGTGTGCATGAATGCATGTGTGTGTGCATGAATATGTATGTGCATGAATGTGTGTGCATGAATGCATATGTGTGTGTGCATGAATGCATATGTGTGTGTGCATGAATGCATGTGCGTGTGCATGAATGCATGTGTGTGTACATGAATGCATGTGTGTGTGTACATGAATGTATGTGTGTGTGTGTGTGTGTGCACAAGCATATATGTATGTGGTTTTCCCAGGTTCTGGGAAGGAGACAGCTGGACCCCACAAGTGGAAAGGGGTAGGACATAGGTCTCAAAGTGAGCCAGAGCTGCAAACCTTATCCCCCAACTCTCTCTGCCAAACCCCAACCCTTGCCCCATCTGTGAGCCGCCACTGCTGACACCCCCAGTGCCACCAAGCCTCTCAGCTCTGCTAGATGCAGGAAGGAGGTGGCAGCTGAATGTTCCTCATGCCCAGGCCAGGCTTGGTCAGTCTTTTCAGAAGCCTGCAGGAGTGGAGTGTGTTTCTATGATGGGCTGGGTGCCTGACAGTGTGTGAGCCAGGGGGCCTGAGTGAACCTGTGTGGGTGTCTGTTCCCTGTGGGAGGAGGGCTGAGGCTGCATTCAGGAGTGCTGCTAGGAGGTCCAGAGAAATGAAATAGGGGCTCAGGCTTAGCGTCCAGTGGGCCTTCATTGGCTTGGTCAGACGCCTTTGGTCTTGGAGGTTGGCCTCAGCAGTCTCTTGGATCATCCCGTACATGTACCTCTTTGAGTCAGGGTCTTCCAAGACTGGTGGGCAAAGGGAGAGAACACTGGCTTTGAAGTCAGACTAGCTGGGGTTCAAATCTGGGGTTTCCTTCTCATGAGCTGCAAGATTTTGAGATGTTATTTAACTATGCTGAGCCTCAGTTTCTTTCTTGATGAAATGGGGAGCTATGAGCTTCCTCAGCAGGTTAGTGTGGGGAAGACAGCATGCATGCACAGTATTAACACAGAGCCTGGCATGATTTAGGGGTTTGGTGAAGCCCTCCCTCTCACTCTAGCACCACAGGCAGAACTCTTCCTGGGCTGAATCTGGGTAGTCTCTGCAGGGTGATCCCTAGGTCTGGGTCCCAGAGATTGCTTAGGGTCTTTGCTCCCCTTCTCCAGGCCTCAGTCCTTGTCTGTCCTCTGCCTGTCCTTCCCCAGTCCTTAGCTCCACCCACTACCCTGACACCCCCATGATCCCCTTTCCTTGGTCAGTCTAGCATAGTTTGTCCCTCAACTCTTCGGGCATCCATCCCGCCAAACACACAGTCTACACCCCCTACTTCCACCCCCATGGCTGCAGAGGGGCCACCCCCACACCCAGAGCCTGACCTACTTTGGAACTGAGAGGCTGCCAGGAGAGGCAGTTCTGATGCCCGGGTGCCGGTGGGAGCCCCCTGGGGGCCTTCTTGGTACAGAGCATCCTGGGGAGGAGAGGTTGGAGGCCGGGGACTGGGGAGGGGCTGGGGGTTAGACCTTGCTCTGGCAGAGGCTGGCTTCTGTGGACTTCTCTGCTGGTCGTGCCTTAGGGAGGCCTCTGCCCTCCATGCCCTGAGCTGGTCCCTAGCTTGGCCCTTGCACAGAGTAGGTGCTCTATGAATATTTGTGAATATCCGGGACAAACCGGAAGGCAGGAGACAGGTGTGGTTAGTGGAAGGCCCTCCGGACCCAGGCCAGCCCCCACCTCTGGCCTCAGGTTACTCCCCGGCATGTGGGGAAGGGGAGTGAGCCTGCCCACCTCCTCCAGCGGTTGAGACCTGGGAAAGGTGCCTTGTAAAGCTGTAAAGTGCTGCGGAGCTGGGCTGGTGGTGTCCACAGGACTAGCCACTAGAAGGGGTGAATGGTTGCTCCCTCCGGTCGCTGACCTCCACCTCCCTGTCGCCAGGACCAGGGCACCGTGGGGGTGATCTTTAACGTGGGCACAGACGACATTACCATCGACGAGCCCAACGCCATCGTAAGCGACGGCAAATACCACGTGGTGCGCTTCACTCGAAGCGGCGGCAACGCCACCCTGCAGGTGGACAGCTGGCCGGTCAACGAGCGGTACCCGGCAGGTAGGCGGCACAGGCCCGCAGAGGAAGTGCGGCGGTGGGGCGGGGCGGGGCGGGCGGGTGGCGGCCTCTAATAGGAATGCAGCCGCGCTGGGGCGGGGCTAAGCGGAGAAGCTCCGCTGTGGGGTGGGGCGGGGCTACTGGAGAAACAAGGCTTGCAAGGCGGGACTAGGGCAGGGGCATGGCTATGAAAAGGGATTTTCCCGGAGGAGTGAGACCGTCGTGGTGGGCCTGAGCCAACTATGGGGGAGGGTGCAGGGCTGAGCGGAAAAGGCTGCAAGGCCAGGGTCCAGTTTCGGGGAGGAGGAAGAAAAGGAGAGAGGGTAGAGCTGAGGAGAGTCTGATGCGATTGAAGAAAGGATGAGTTCAGAAATGAGGGAGACAGTTGCAGAAACAGGAGAGAAAATCCGAAAGTAACATAAAACATGTCTTGGCAAGGAGACAGGGCTGTTACCAAGGGCAGAGCCAAGGAAAGAACCAAGGTCCTTATAAAGAGCAAGTCAAAGATCCATATTAGGAGATCTAGTGAAGGAAGAGAAGTAGCCACGGAGACTCAGAGAAAAGGACCCCCAGTGTCCAAGGCAGTGAGGGACATGGTGAAAGGGAGGGAGAGACAAGTGACCACAAAAATTAAAAACACATGGTCACGTGCATTCAACAACCTTTGTTGACAGCGTGTTTAGGCAGCAGGGCTTGTGCTAGGTCCTGGGGACTCAGTCCCTGTTTGCAGGGAGCCTTGAGAATGCAAACAGACCCAGTTCAACAGGATGACAGCTGTGGTGGCCAAGGACAAACCAAGGTCTGAGGAGCGCAGGAGAGGGACGGAGATGAGGACATGGAAGAAATGATGAGGCAGAGACTCTGAAAGATTTTGAGGGAGGCAGAGACAGAGCCTCAGAATAAGAGGAAACCAGTGGGAGCAATGGGAAGCTGTGGAAATGGTACTGAGCCATATGCAAAGGCGGGGAGAGATGCGGAGAGATAGATGGAGATGCTGACATGCAGACCCAGGGAGAGAAGAGGTGGACAGAGCCTTGGGAGGGAGCAGAGGAGAGCGCCAGCATGGGAGATAAAGAAGAAGGGGAAACAGAAACGCTGCAGGGAGAACTGCAGAAACACAGAGATGCTGAGATACAGGCTGAGCGACATTGCAGTCACACACAGGGCCTGACTGAGAAGCAGAATGAACATCTGCAATCTCCATCACTCTCCCAGGCGGAGAGATAGCCAGGCCAAGGCAGAGAAGCTGCCCCATGCTAACTGCGGAGGGCAGGGACAAAAGGCCAGTGTGTAAACCCTCATGGGCTCACCTATGATGGAGTAAAGATGCCAGTACAGGCTTATGATACCAATTATGTATGCTTGTACCCAGACATTTCTGTAAAGTCCCTGGAGATAAAGAGGCCCATGTGGCCCCCTAGTAAATACACAGGTTGATGTACACACAGGTCAACCCTAGACACATGGACAACTGCAGACATTTGTATGGTCAGACAGACACATGAAAAAACAGCTCTGCAGAGGGATGCCAGTCTACATCAAGACCCTAGGTACATGTAGGGACACGCAAGACACACCAACCCTCCTAAACTAAATTCCTCCTACACCCCTCATCCTCCAACAAGCCAACACTGATAGCTTGGGCTGTGTAGGCATGATCCCTGTGGGCAGCAGACTTCTCTCATTCTCCGATGCACACACACTAGGGCAACCTTTGTAGCAGTAATACGTCGGCCTATGCTGGACAGGGCTGGGCTTGGAAGCATGAAGGCCTCATCATGTCAAGCCAGGACTTGGATCTAGAACTTCATCCCTTGGAGCCCAGCAGGCCAGCAATCAGGGTGGAGGAGTTGTGCCTGCTCTCCTCTCCTCAGGGACTCCTGATTAGGCGTGAGGAAAGGCTGCTGGGTGCCTCTTGCCTGTAAAGGGGAGTAACATGAGGGCCTGGTGGTTGAATGTGTGTACTGAGGGCAGATCCTGAGCAATACCAGCAGGTCTGATCAGCAGTATGCATGGGCCCAGAGAGGGGGGACCCTCTGACTCCTTGGGAGCACAGAGGCACAGTCCATGGATTCTGAATCAGCAGGACCTGGATTTTAATCCTGGATCTCCCACTGATGAGCACGTGATCTTGGACAAGCCATCTAGCCTCTCTGAATCTCAGTTTCAACCTCTGAAAGGTGATGAGACCTACCTCTTAGCAATATTGTGAGATTCTCATGAGTAATCTAAGGAAAACGTAAGAGTAGCATAGCGTGGCAGCGGTGCTCAGTAAATAGGACTTTTGTTAGAATTTTTATGTACTCAGCCTCCCTCCAGGCAGATGTACATTCTTCTCTTCCTCTTGGAGACATACACCCAGGATTGAATAACCTGTTTTTAACTTAAACATAAATGTCCTGAATCTATAGGGAAAGCAGAGTCTCCTTGCCTTATAAGCACCTAAGGAGGCACCATCCATACCCACATGAATAGGTTGAGTGCACCTTCATGGGAGGTGTACACAGGCAGGGCCAGGCCCAGGTCTCTGGGCAGGTGAGCACAGCTGTGCAGTGAGAGGAAAAGCCTCCTGGTCCCACCAGCGTGCACTGAATAGTATGTCAGTGCTTTAAATGGGAGAAGTGGCCAGATTCTCAAAGGAAATCAGTTCCCTTTCCACTGCTGCAGACCGGGATCACCCACGGCTCACAGAGAACTACAGATCCTCTCATGTGTACTGACAAACCCCTTTTCACACAGACGTGCGCGCACGCGCGCACACACACACACACACACACACACACATGCACTCACACTATTCTCCTTCCCAGTCTCCAGGGGCTGGAGATTGGTGAGCAGAGAGAGGAACAGGTGGGTATCCAGATGGGAAGCCAAGCTTGGGGAAGAGATGGGGGCTGGAACTGGTGGGGAGGAGCCTGGAGGAGAAAGGCTGAGTGCCTGGCAGGGTGAGCAAGATGAGGTCCTGAGACAGCAAGGAGAGGAAACTGGGCTCTGAGCAGAAAACAGTCAAGGTGCATTTGGGGCAGAGGAGAATGCAGAGGAGGGCTGGGGGATGTCTGCAGGGGAGGAGTAAGGGGCTGAAGAGGAGGTGAGAAGGGGGCTGCTGGATGATGATCCAGCTCCCACACCAGGCACCACACCTGTCACAGCTGCCCAGTAGAAAGGAGCCCTGACCAGGGTGAGGAGGCCTTTCGGGGAGTGAGTGGTGGAGTTGGGAGCAGGAGGGGCTTAAGGGGGAAGGTGGTGGTGGGGTCAAGGGTGTGGTGTGAGGTGGAAATTGAGGGGAAGTTGGAAGTGGAGCACCAAGGCAAGGGGTGTTGAGGTGGCCTGGAGAAGAGGTTTAGATCTCACTGTTCTGTGAGTGTGCTGGGTGGCCCCCTAAATGCCGCATAAACCCCGCTTAACCTATCCCTTCTACTTCTAAACTGCCCTCTAAACGCAGGAACCAGCTGGGCCATTGATGCCTCCCACCCCCAACTTAAACCTGCTAAATGCCCCTCCCCCTGCCCACCCCCCAACTTTGGGATGGGGAAGGAAGGGGGCCACAGCAGCTTAACCACAGATAAACCTGTTTAACCTCTGACCTTTGACCTTCCAGCTTCTTTTTTTTTATGTCCCTTTTCTTTTCTTCTTTGCTCATCTCTTTTGCTTTGGGTTGCTCCTGCCCCCAGGGTGGGGCTGGCTCCGGACCGGAGCCTAGGGAGGGGGTCAAGGGAGAAGAGGGGCCCAGCGTTTCTTTTCCTCCCTTCCCCTCTTTCTGTGGATGTTGCTGCTTACTCTGAGTCTCCTGAGGAATGCATAATTACTTTTCTAACTCCTTTGGACTTCGCCGCCTGAGAAACCTACTGTCTTTCTAAACTTTTCCAAGGAAACTTTGATAACGAGCGCCTGGCGATTGCTAGACAGAGAATCCCCTACCGGCTTGGTCGAGTAGTAGATGAGTGGCTGCTCGACAAAGGTAATTAACCAGAATTAATTAATTAATTAATTAACTTTAAAAACACTATCTTAAAGGTGCAGAGCTCTCTCTTTCCCCCTCCGTGCCTTCACCAATGCCCACCCCCAAGTGAAGGGACAATTGGCCAGCCAGAATGCTCCCTTCCCCTTTGGAGTCAAGAGTCTGTCTGTGCATTTCAGAATGGTATTGGGGTAGAAGTGGGGCTTTTCCTTAGAAGTGAGGGAGTCCTATTTTCTTTTTAAATCTGGGATCAACTAGGGTAATCCACAAGATCCCTACCATGGGAGCTCCCCAGTGCAAGCCCTGCAGTAAATCACAAGCAGGCTGGGAATGCAGGCTGGAGATAGGTTCCCTCTGCCCAGAATCATCTTGGAGGCTTGGTAAAGGGCCAGCTGAGGGCCATAGAGCATACAGAGGTGGAAAGCCTTTGGGAAGCAGGAAAGCTGATCTGAGGAGGGTTGGGAAGGCTTCACCAGAGCCATGGGAGGAGAAGAGAGAAGAGTGGGGAACTCAGATCCTAATGGAAAGACTCCCAAAGAGAGTGCTGTGGGGCTGCTATCTCTGGAACAGGCCCACCTTAGTCCAGAAGGCCTCTGAGAAGTTGAGGAGAGACTAAAGAAGGCAGGACAGGAAGTGGTGGGCCCATAGGGATTTCTATTCCTTCTTGGCTGATGAGGAAGACCCATTAAGCCCCTTGGGAGGCCCAAGTGTGGTGAGGTGCTGCTGGATGTGAGAGGGAAGGCTTCTTGTCACCAAGGGAAGTTGGGGACCAAGGGCAAATCCATCCCATTCCATTTGGGGGCGGGCGAGCTCTGTACCTCTAAGGCTAAACTCTAGGGGGGAAGTAGAACTGTTAAACCTCCACTTAACCAGCTGATAACTGTGATTTTAAATGTCCACAGGGGACTTCCCCAATTAAAACCCCCAAATGTAACTTCTAGCCCCCCACACCTGTGGGGCCTAAATCTGCTGATAACCAGATGTGATAAACCCATAACAGGACAAAAAGTTAAAGGGACTGTAACAGACATCGCTAAAACCTACAGCCCCCAGCCACACTGGGCTGTTCTCTCCAGCGGGGTGAACTTTAACCCTTTGAGGAGTTCCTGGCGCATGGGGCCAGGGGCCACAGGGAACAAGTTTACTAACACTGTGGCTTCCTCTCCATTACCCACCTCCCTCTTCCAGAATCAGAGAGGCCAAGGGAGCAGGCTGGGCTGAGGCTGGGACAACTTGTGACGCCAAGGGCAGGGAGAGCTGGACAGGCCTTATTGGGGGTTGGGGGAGGAGTTGTGGTTAAGATGATGGGGAGCCAGGGGCCTCTTTCCCTTTCCCTTTAGGTCTGACTTTCCTCTTCTAGAAAATAACCCAGTGGGCTAGATAGATGATTCTCAAAGTGTGAAAGAAGGAACTCACTTTTTGTGTGTGGCCTTAGCCAAGTACTTCCTCTTGCTGAGACTCAGTTCTCTTCTCGGTAAGACAGGACAGTGATGGTTACTCAGCCCACCTCACAGGCATGTTGTGAGGGTGAGAGGAAAGAAACATCAGGAAGGTATCCCAAGACAAGGTCTGGGGATGCTTGGAGGGAATATTTTACTGTCAGTGCCTGACCATATGGTAGATGCTTAATAAATATTTATTGGATGAATCTATTTTCCAGTTCCAAAGTATGTCCTGTGAAACAGTCCCACGAGATGCTTCACAATAGAGAAAGTTGTGGTAGAATGAGTTTGGGAAGTGCTGAATCCTGTTTCTTCCTCTTGGAAATGCATGTGTGCATTAGTTTAATGCAGGCTCTGAGAAGCCCTTGGAGAAAGAAACCTGTTCGATGGTGAAATGTTTGCTTCCCCAACTCATTTGACCATGGTGACCCTTCTCTCCTTTGTTTTCCTCATGAGTCTTATGTCTGGGAATGGACTTGGATGCAGAGGTCTTCCTGGGCCTGTCTGGGTCTGGTATTCCAGGGCCTGTCCCAGAGCTGCCATCACCGATCCTTTGCCTCTTGGGCTCTTGGCCATTGGTAATGGGTGTTGCTGCCCTAGGGCTGTCCTTACCTGAGTAGGCGGTGGGAGGGTGCTGGAGGGGGAAGGAAGGCTGAGTGGGGACTGGGGAGACACACCAGTGCCCATCATTGGCCAGAGGCTGGACGGATGTTTGGATGTCCCAGAGGCCTTGGGTTTTCCAGAGAACCTGTTTCCAAAGAGGGTGTGGGCTTCACAAGTTGGACTGTCCTCAGCCCAGGTTTTGGGGGCAAGGCTTATGGGCACCTAACTCTAAACCAGATCTTTAACGAGGCACTAACCAGAGGCTAACAAGGGCTAAGCCAGGTCTAAAACCCCCAGTGCCAGCAGCTGAAGGTTCCGGGGGAGATGGGGCAATGTAGTAGGCCCTCTGCCCAACCCCTCCCCCACAAAAAATAAGCAGCACCAAAACCAAAGTTAAATCTAAACTTAAACATAATAAACATCTTTTCTAAAAACCAAACCAAAACAACAAACTCAGAGGGTTAAACTGACCCCCAGATCCACTAAAAACAAACAGAACAGCCCAACCCCACCCAGCTGGGAATTCTGAGGTGTCATACTGCTGAGTGCGGGGTGCGATTGGAGCTGGAGCGGGTTTTTTTGGCTGTCAGTGAGCGAAGCAAGGTCCCTTTAACATTTTTCATTTCTGTGCTTGCACATCTAGGTGGGGAGGAAGGGCTTGGCTTTCCAGGGCCTGGTCCCAGGCAGTGCTGGGCCTTGGCAGTCCAGGAGAAGAGAGGGGTTCCTGGCCAGGGGTCAGAGGGCCTGGTTGTAGGTGGGAGGCCAGCCTGGGCAGATTGCTGCTCCCACACACCATCATACTGTCTCACCTCCTTCTCCGCTCTCACATGCACTGACTCCACCTTGGCCTGGCAGCTGCCTCCTTTGTCTCTGCCTCTTTGTCTCCTCTTCTGCCTCTTCCAAGGGCTCCATGGCTTCATGGCTTGGGGCTGGACACTGGGGCAGGATGTGTGGGGAAGCAGAGGGAGAAGATGGGGATGGATTGAGGGAAGAGGATGAAGAAGGGCGATGGCCTTGGAGCTGCAGAGGAGAGGGACTGGGGAAGGCGGGAAGGCTTTGCACATGGTGGGGAGGAGGGGCTGGGCTCCCCTTTCCCAGCCAGTGTATGCCCTGGGTGCCCTCCCCTTCTGGGGTCCCCACCTGGCTGGGCTAGGGGCTGTGGCTGACAAGGACTTTCCCTTTGGTTGTCTGCCCCTTCTTCATTTTTCCCCGTCCCCTCCTCCCTTGCTGGCTTCCTCCTCCATTCTTTTTTCCTCTCCTTGGCTTCCTTCTCTTTTCCTTTCCCTTCCTGGTTCCTCCTCACTGCCTGCCCCTCCTGTGTCACCCCTTTCCCCTCCCCCCAGGCCGCCAGCTGACCATCTTCAACAGCCAGGCTGCCATCAAGATCGGGGGCCGGGATCAGGGCCGTCCCTTCCAGGGCCAGGTGTCCGGCCTCTACTACAATGGGCTTAAGGTGCTGGCGCTGGCCGCCGAGAGCGACCCCAATGTGCGGACCGAGGGTCACCTGCGCCTGGTGGGGGAGGGGCCGTCCGTGCTACTCAGTGCGGAGACCACGGCCACTACCCTGCTGGCCGACATGGCCACCACTATCATGGAGACTACCACCACCATGGCCACTACCACCACACGCCGGGGCCGCTCCCCCACGCTGAGGGACAGCACCACCCAGGTAAGGCCCCACTCTGGTTGGTGGATTAGGGTAGGGATAGGTGGGGATGGGGCTGATATCTGCATAGCCACAGTAGTGGTGCCTAGGATGAGGGTCCAAGGGGTCATTGGGATCCTGGAGGCTGCTGTCTCTGACCTTGTTGCCATGGCAATGGGCAAGGTGACCTTGCAGGAAGTGGCCTTCACCTTAATGACCAGGTATCTTGCGATGTGGGGATGACCACTATTTCTAGAGGGACCATTCCCAGATTTGGGGAGGAGTTTGATGGCCCAGTTATATGAGAGAAGACCACCCTACCTAAGAGAGATGAAGTCTGGACTCGGGGTGAGAGTGGAATGGCTCCTTCTGCTTCCCCAGTGAAGGCCATGCCTAGTGTTCTGTGTGGGCAGAGTGGGAGATGGATGATACCAGACATGGCCCTGCTGTGGGCAGAGGTGACAGTATGGGAGGGCTGGATGCAGTCACCTGGTGTGGGCAGCCCCCCTCCAGAGGCTGGTGGAAGCTAGGAGTAACCTGTCCTTTTGTTCTGGGGTCCCTGCAGTGGGAAAGCCCTACCTGCAGGTCCATTGCCTTTATGAGCCCTCTCCATGTGACTGTGAGCAGGCACCACAAGTCAGGGGCTCCAGTGTCATCTCAGTGGGTCTGAGGGGGTCTCAGTGCAGACAGTTCCCTGCTGCTCACCTCCCCTGCTCAGGTGCTTCTTGGGTCAGGTCAAGCCCTAGTGATGGGGCAGGACTGGAGGGGCTGCCTCTGGGGAATGGGGCTCCGCTGGAGCAGGACAGGCCTGTGTGACTTCCTAAGGTAGCCCACGCTGGGCTGTTTTCTAGTTATTGCCTCCCGTGCCTGCTCTGACCATTAGCACGGAGCTCATGCCTGGCATGAAGGCCTTGGTGTCACCCCTTCTCTCCCATCATCCTGTCCGACAGCCTGTGGCTATTGGGCACCCTCTGTCCTTCCAGGGTGAGGGCAGGATCTGGGGGTGGCCATGAGGATGTGCCCCTCCCTGTGCCGCCAGTCTGTCTTCAGCTTCTCCCTCTGAGGGGTGGACTCTGTGTGCTTCCAGGCCCCTCCTCCCTGCCAGTCTGTGCTTCAGGAAGCCTGGGACTAGGCTAGCTGGGGCCATCCAGATCAGAGAGATAAGCCTGTACCCACTTCCTCTCTGCCAAGAAAGCTGAGGGGACCTGAAGAGTTTACCCCTAGGGGGCAGGGAGCCCTGGGGGAAAGGTCTGGGCTCTACCCAAGGCTGGGTACCCACCATGTCCAATGCCCTCCGAATCATAGGGGAAGAGGGGCTGTCTGGTCTCAGTGGGAGGGTGATGGGCAGATCATCCTGGTGGAAGAGAGAGGTGAGGGTCCAGGAGACATTGCTGTGGTGGGGAAGCCCAAGATGGAGGCTGGTGCCTAGGGGGCAAGAATGCAGAGGGAGCTGGGTCCTCCAGGCCCCACCTTGTTCTTGGGTGAGCGAGGGCTGTCCAGTCTGAAGATCAGGGGCTGGGGAGGAGGCAAGTTATGACCCTTTCAACCCTGCTCATCTTGGCCTTCAGCCTGGCCCTCTCCTCCCCATCCCGGAGTTTCTCGGGCTCCTTTCCTGCCTGGACTTTCAGTTTCCCTCCTTGGGTCTCCTTCCTCATACCCGCTGTGCGCCCCCCTCCTCCTTACACTCACTCATCTTGGAGATTTTCTTTCTTTGCAATCAGTAGGAGAGAAAATGCTGACAAAGTCGACTCCTGTTGTTATGGAAACCACAGCCCTAATTATTGTGTGCAGGCCGGTTCTCTCAGGCTCCAGGAAAGGGAGTTGGGAGAGAGATGAGGGGTGATGGAGTGGTGAAGCTAGAGCCAGGAAACCCCTCCAGGTCCTGTCCCTGTTTTGCCTATGCTGGCTTCTGTAGGCTCCACCCCGTAGGGCCTTGCCTCCCCGGCACCCCTGTACCGAGGCATCCTAGACCCTCTTGCCTTGGCCCTGCAGGTTAAAGTCTCGTATCCACTCTCCTTACTTCCCAGAAATAAAAAGCACCATGTGTACTGTTTCATTGACCCTCGGAAGCCATGAAAACCTGCAGGGCTGCTGCTGGGAAGCTCCCTGTGCATAGCAGGAAATGGAGGCCCAAGATCAGCCAGCAAGAGATGGGAGGGCTGGGACTCAGACCAGCCTGGTCCATCTCAGCCCAGGGGCATCCCCTGTGCCACCACGCATCTGAAATGGCGGCTGTGGGATCTGCTGACCTGCCTGGAACCTCTCTTTCCCCACCCCTTTTCTCATCCTCTAGAACACAGATGACCTCCTGGTAGCCTCAGCCGAGTGTCCCAGCGATGATGAGGACCTGGAGGAGTGTGAGCCCAGTACTGGTGAGTGCCTTTCCCCCCTCCCCTGCCCCGGGGCCCTCTGTGACGCTGCTGGGAGGGGGGCGACTGTCCCTGTCACCTGGCCCAAGTCCCAGGGCCTGCTGCCAGGCCTTAGCTTTCCCTGATAGTTTCCCACTGCCTAATATCCTCCCAGGCCCTCAAATGCTCTCTGGCAGGATTCCTTTTGGTTCCCAGCCCCTCAGACATAGTGAGGTCCATAGCTTGGGATCCTAGGGTTGAGAGCCAAGGGGTGCTGGGACAGGAGGGAGACTTTTCCCTAGAAAGATAAGTAACTGCAGCTCCCATGAGTCCTTGGGGTGGGGGAGGGTGAACATGGGTTAGGAACTACAACTCCCATCAGCTTTTGGTTGCAGAACCACAACTCCTGCTTGCCCCTGAGGCCTGGTGCTCTCTAGGCCACTAGTAGAGGAGATCTCTGCTGTATCCTGGGCCCTCCTCTTCTCCTGGGTGCCAGGAGGTGTCCTGGGCTCTGTCTGAAGCGTTCCCAAAGTGGACGCTGCCAGGACTGCCAGGCCAAGATGGGGCAGTTGCTACACAGTGACTGCTCTGAATCTGATAGTGTGCTGGGTGGGAGATCCCCCCTAGACCAGACTTGTGGTCTGCTGGGGAAGATTAGGGCCTGAGGCCTGGCCCGGTTTCTAGTTGGGGAGCTGCTGTAGGAGGACAGCAGGGCTGGGAGGGAAGGCTTCCTAGGACCTGGGGCTCTGGGGCCAGGGGTGCTTTCTAGGCCTCTGCTTAATACTTCTTGCTGGAGCCAAGGGTGCAGCCACAGAGAGAGACCAGGCTGGCAAAGCGGGGGTGGGCCTTGAGTGCTGCTTGAGAAGTGTGGGGTGTGGAGTGGTGCAGCAAGTGCCAAGGCTGCTCATTTGAGCAGGTTGGGGGTGGCCAAGAGCAGCTGGGGGAGGGTGGGATACTTGAGGCTGGCAGAGGGAACAGAGAAAGGACTGGATGTGGCCAGATTTCCCAGTGGAGGAGCGTGGGCCTTGGTGGCTGCCAGATCAGTCTGTGGGAGTGGAGGGCCACCCACATTTCTCGCTTGGGCTGCTGGAGACTTCTCCCCATTACCTTGTAATGGGTGGCACCTGGCTCGTTGGTACCAGAAGGCTGGAGACTGGGGCAGGTGCTTGCGGGATTGGGGGAGATAATGTGGCCAGGAGGTGGGCAGTATGCCCTGGTACATCCTGTGAATCTGCTCTGGAAAGACATTCCCAGCTCCAGAGAAGACGTTTAGGCTGAGGGTGGGCCCCGGCCCTGGAAGGAGTGTGGACGGAGCAGGACCATAACATGGCCTGTGGAGCCTTGGGGCAGAGACTCAGCTTCAAAAAACCAAGGGCAGAGGGGTTTCTGGGGCACAGGCTCCCAGACCCAGAAGCCGAAGCCCAGTTGCCCTCCATGTCTCCCAAGTAGGCTAGAGTTAAGAGAGGTCACTCCCATGGGCCTGGGCCCATGGACATTCAGGGAAGCTGCCAGCTGCTGGGCCAGAAAGGCCTCCCCTTCCATAGCCCAGGGCCTGTGCTTTCTGGGTTAGATGCCTTTCACTCTAGGAGGCCTCTCTGCTCACTGATGTCACTTCTTCCCCTGAGGTGATCTTGGCTCAGGGATGCACATTCCAATGCCTCCATTGCTTTGGGGGGTTCTGGGCATCTGGCGGCTTCAACACACAGCACCCCTTGCCCTGCTTCACTGCTCTGAGCTCTAGGCACTTATTGGTGGCTCCTGTGGCCAACACAGCACTGCTAGCCCAGGTCTGCTGAAAGTGGCTGTAATGAGTGGCCCCGTGAAAGCCCTGGGATGGGGCTCTGGGGACAATGGTCTGTGTGGGTCACGAGGAAAGGGCAGTGAGTGGCACCACCACATGTGTTTACACACAGGTGCCCATGTTCACACACTCTGGGACAGGAACTCCTGGGAGACAGGAGTCATCCCTGCTTTCCCTGAACCCTGTGGAGGGCTATCTAAGGCCAGATGGTCACCATGTAGGGATGTGAAGTGCACGCTGGACCCTACCTGGGCCATACTGTGTCCATCGAAGTTCTAGCCTCCAAGCCCTGGCTTGGAGTCTAGTCAGGGGCCTGGGTCTGATACTGAATGGGTGCATTGGTGGCCTGAGCTCTTTTAGGCTGCATTAGGGCAGCGGGTGAGGAGGAGCTGAAAGCAGGCAGTCAGCTGGTCCACAGTCAGGAATCTGTGAGGTCACTGACCACTGAGCCACCCTCTTGGAAAAAGGTGCAAGTAGAGAATGAAGGGTGGAGGAGGTCTAGAAGCCTGGGATTAGGAGGGGCTGGTAGCCAGCCCAGCACCCAGCTTTAAAAACAAGGCCAGGAGGGAGGGCATAGTGCACACTGGTGCTCCCAGAGGAAACCACTGGAAGCCACAGCCTCTCCCCCAGACCTGTGTCATGTATGCTTACACATTCACATTTGCACACTCTGAAAGGCTTAACGATGGATCCTCATCATCCCAGTGGGAGACCAGGCAAGGACCAAAATGACTCCAGGGTCTCCCAGGCTGATGTAGACCATGCCATGCCTCCCAGAGCCTCTCAGCCAGAGTCTTTCCCAGGCCCCCAGTGCAAGGAGGCTTTTCTCCAGCAGATGGCCAGGCCTCCCTTGGCTCCAGTGTCAGAGGTGGGGGCAGCCTGGCTGGAGACCCTAGGGTGTTTTACCTCTCCCACCTTGCAGATCCTCATCCCTGGGTCTGGGATCATTCCTACGTACCTTTCCACCCTTTTCCCTAACCTCAGCTCCTCCACAGACCCTGGCCCATGCTTTCTCCCTTGCATGGTGAGACTGTCATCTACACGGTTATTTTAGCTGTGATTGGCTTTCGAATGGGAGTGCCTTTAGGGGCGCGTGCACCATCGGTAATGTGACCCACTCCTAGTTGTCTCAGCTGGCCCAACCCACACATTGTGTTCTGGGCCTGGCCCCTGAGGGAATCTGACTTTGCACAACCTGAGACATGTAGGAAGGGCACACATAGGCTGAGACCCACAGAGGCAGTGTCTGTATGCACATATATGACCAGAGGCATGCACACATACAGCTCTGCACATACATTTACACACTCACCAGCAAGCTCACATGGGCCCACTTCCATACACACACACACACACACACACACACACCCATTCAAACCTAGAAGAGCACAACCATTTGTACGCAGACCAACAGAGGCACACACATGGTTAGACTCCAAGAGACATGTATGTGCTTATGCCCCCCTGAAGTCCATACACACAGCTATACACGTTTGAGACTCATAGAAGCACAAACTCAGGCACACATACACAGTCTCACAAAAGCACACACATGCACTCAGAGCTACCAGCTCTGGCATGTATATGCTTAGAGCTCCAAAAATACCCACAGAGGTGCTCAGATGCACAGGTGTGCACCTACTCAGCTCCCAGAGTTACTTGCAACATGTGTTCAGTTGCACCAAGGCACACACACATATTGTGTGTCTCAAACTTACCCAGCCACTTGCATGTGCTCTGAGCTATGTGTACATGCATGCTCATACCCACTAAGGCACACTCACACACATCTACTGACACTGATGGTGAATGTTCAGAATCACACACACACGTTCAGACCCAGAGACAGACTTGCATATTGCAGACACTCAGGCCACACATATCTGTGTTCAAACCTGAGTGTGTTTGCATATGTGCATAGATCCAGTGAGACATATGCCTTGAGACACATCCTCGGACTCACAGATTATACATCTATGCTTAGCTCAGAGGCACACGCATGTACAGATCCACCTGTGTAATACACACACGTGCTCAGACCACAGAATCCTACACCTGCGTTCAGACCTGCAGATGTTCGCATGTGTTTCAGAACCACAGATACCTTTATGCATGTTCAGATCAGGCAAGTACACAGTGTGCTTAGACCTACCACAGTGCACATGTACACACACATGTACTCACAGAAATGCATATCCATGACCAGGCTCACAGAGATATGTGTGTGAGTATCCTTACGACGATGCACACATACATTTCTGCAGAGGGGTGTACTCATTCACCAGCATGTGCATCCAGTCCCCTTGAGGCATGCCCACAGCTACACAAAGGTGCACCTGGGGACTAAGACTCACAAGGGTTCAGGTGTGACCATTCTCAGAGGCAGGCTGTGTGCTCATCCCAGGGTTCTACACACACACACAATTTGTTCAGCTTCACAGACCGGCACCTCTCCCACCAACCTCACACCTATAGAAGCTCATACTTTCATGCCCACTCATGTGTCTAGTGCCACAGCAGTGTACACATACATGCTCATCTGCTGAAACAAACATACTGGTTCACACTCACAGAAAAATACATATGTACATACATACCCACAGACATGCAAGCTTATGTGCTTAGACCTTCACGGAGGCATGCATACACACACACACACACACACACACACACACAATCAGGCCTACATTGGCCTGTGCAGGTGCACTTCTCTGCTCCAAGGTACCCATGCAGTGGCACACAGGACACACATATATTTTCAGACCTGTAGGGTATGCACACATGTTCAGACACAGTACAAGGCATGCCTGTATGCCTGTGTGCTCCCATCCAGTTAAGTACACACAGTTGTTTAGACTTACAAGAGCACATACATACACACGTGTTGTTCAGGTTCACTCATGCACACGTGTGCTGAGACCCACAGAAGCAACCTCCTGCACTTACTCCCTGCAAGCATCCCTCCTGAGGCATTGCCCCCCTGCACATGTGAATGAGACCCTCAGAGGCACAGGCAGGCTTCACTCCACAGAGTCACAGACACATTTGCCCAGACCCACAGAAGCACAGTGTGTTTGGATTCCAAGAGGGTCTCAAGATAGCACTAGCTGCTAAAATAGACAAAGCCACAACATCCATGGTTTAACACATAGAAATGTATTTCTCATTCATGTAAGTTACAAACAAGTGTTCCTGATTGGTGGACCATTCTTCTCCAAGTGTT